CAAAACAATAGCGGCTGCCAGAAATTTCTCCGGTCAAACAAAAAGAACGAAAGCCAACCGGCTCTTGCTTCCACCGTACATCGACGTTGCGCTTGCACCATGGCCAGATCGGCCAGATCGCTTGCAGTTGAAGCAGTCGAAGGTTGAAGCAAAAACGAAACCAACTGCAATGTCACGTGTTCACATCGAAGACACGTTTTTATATCCATTTTAACTGTTTTGAACGAATAATTGGACCCATGACTTTATTTGTGGTGTGTAAGAAACTATTATCAAGAGCCCTAAACTAAATGCAAACATGGGCGACATGAGGGAAGCCGCATTGCCATCAACCAGAAAATGGCGGCGAGCCACGGTAAGCGCGGGTTTCGCCAACGTCCCGCGACATGGCGTAATTGCTTTTGGTGCTTATCTGTTTCCGAGACATGTTTCTTTCCGCGGCATTTGTCTCGACGGTCCTTTCTAAGTGTGTCCCCAAGCATTCCGGTGCTTCGATAGCCGGCAATGCCGCGGTCGTTGCCGGAGGCGATGCGTGTTATCGAGGTCGGCTACACGGTTATGCGTGTATGTCCGAACCAAAACACGTTTTTTACAACCTCGCATGATATCTGAACGTATTATCCGTTACCATCGTGTAAAGTTATGGTAATTTGTGTAAATAGCGTGTTTTTCACCCCAAATATTCACCAAATACACGGCACTTGCTAACAGTGTAGTCTCTTAACAAGCGCACGGCTTTGCCCGGTTCGCGCAAAAAGACTTTTTTTTAAACTTTTTTTTCTGTTTTGGTTACTGCGTTTTTTGCCACACACTTTTCACGCGACCTGACTTCGCGTATCAACCAAAAACCGCATGGAAAACATATCGGTTCCGCTCCTGAGCGAAAAATATTATTTCGTTCCGGTTCAACTCCGGTTCGAGCGAAAATAACGTTTTTTTCCAGTTTTCGGTTCCCGGTTCGGGTTCGGTTCAATACCCTCTTTCTAAGTAACGACTTTCCTCGCCTACAAACTAACGTACAAGTAGTGGTGAGAATCTCTGACCATAAAATAGTTGTATGCACAGTACATGTACGTAGTTCTGCGAACTCCTATGGCTGCGCAAAATATGTACTTGACTTCAACAAAGCTGATAATGCCTGTAGTAATTGAAAACGAGCGTGTTGTTAAATAATTGAAACGAGCGTGATGTTTTGTCCTTTCAAGTTTTTGTACAGATGACGCCTGCGTGCACTTGGCCATGAATTTAACAATTTTAACGAGCTTTTTAATGAAACTGTCACTACCACTGACGCGCTATGAAACAAATTCAAATCACTTGTTAGTCACTGCATCACTCAGTATATTCCTGGAAAACATAAAATTACAAGGAAGCACAATTCATGGATCAACCGTGAGATTATTCATCTTAAAAGTAAAATCAAATGACTAAGCAAGTCATCCAAAAAAGCTCTAACACAAATCATAAAAAAAATTGCCAGAGCCATCCCAACTGCTGAAATTAAAGATGAAGACGGAAAGAAAAAGTGTTACAACAAAACCCTTCAAGATTTTATGAAAGCATCACCCCAAACATTTCGGAACTATATTATTCCAAGAAGGTCTAGAACATGAAATATGTGCACTTTGGAGGCACGAATGGTAAAACGGACTTTAAGTCCGTTTTACAGCTGGCAATGGTATCGATAACTTAGTTCTACCTTCTAAAAATCACGAAGACGAAGACCTTGGTAGCTTACAAACCACGGTATCAGGCGTTTTTGCGCTTCTGCTCGATTTAGGCGCTAAAAAAACGTAGAAACCCCCCAAATGTTTTTTTTTTCAAAGTACGCTGAATGGATTAGCAAGGACTTAGTTCTAATTTCCAACAAGTCTCTGAGACTTTCGTCCGTTCCAGCGGAGTTGAAAATTGCAGAAGTTATTCATATCCATAAATCCCCGGCGACGGCTCTTCAACCTCAAATTATAGACAAATATGCTTAACATGTACAGGCTGCAAGTTACTGGAGCACACATTTTTAAAATTTATGACAGAATTTATTGTGAGGCATAATATCTTAGATACGCGTCAGCGCGGCCTCAGGAGAGGTTTTTCATCTATTACGCGGCTAATCGAACACTCTATGATTTCTCGATGGATATAAACAACAGAAGACAAATAGAGCTACGCATTTTCTTAGATCTGTTAAAGGCGTTTGGCTGCGTTTCACACGTCAAACTTATAAATAAGCTCGAACACATTATGGAAGAAGGGCCAATAACAAAATGGATAGAGGAGTAACTTAGAAATTGTTTTCAGTCTGTTTGTCGATCATGAAGGGTACGTTTTGCAACCAGTTACAGTGGAGTCAGAAGTTCCACGAGGGTCTGTTTTAACACCACTTCTATTTCTTCTGTTCTTAAACGAAATTACCGATGGCATCGACGGAATCATAAAGTTATTCGCAGATGACAGCATTATTTATCGTGATATTTCATGCCAAGATTACCAAAATTGCTAAACAGGTCTCTAAGGAAGGTTGCAGACTGGTGCAATGACTAGGGAATAACTCTAAATACAGAAAATGCGGTTTGTACGTGCCTGACTAAAAAATGAAAAAGGTTCTAGATTATTATTACAATCTAAATAGTATAAACTTGCGTAGAATCACTGGATACAAGCACCTAGGTGTCGTGATAACGTCAGATCCAAACTGGAACGCGCATATAAAATATGGGACATGTAAAGCTCTTATCGATTTTTTGTTTTGTTTTTGTTTTAAAGAACGTTGAAACACTCAAGTCATGGAACCAAACTGTTCGCATATACTACACTGGTGCGCCCGGTATTAGAATATGCCATCAGCCTGCTTCCCCTCATACACAAACCTGTAACAATATCCTTGAAAGTGTTCTGAGAAAAGCAATACGATTTGTTTACCCCAAATATGGACGGTTTGATTCCTTCACTGAGCTTCTGAAGGAATTCGGTGTTTGACCATTGCTGATCGCGCAAAATGATGACTTAAATTCTTATATCTCCTCTTAAATGACGCTTTCGAAATAGATAAAAACAAATATGTGAACACTTCTCAGTCAAAAACAACAAGGTGCACAAACGCAGCAATACACTTATCGAATATTCATTTAATAATACTTTCAGGTACTCTGTTTTACCTTTTGCCATAAGAAATTAGAAGGGCCTTGACACACATTTCTTGAGCTTCAAAAGTGTAGATTCGTTCATGGATGCTCTTGAACAACACCTCCTTGGTCAATTTATGAGTTGATTGAATATTTAAGAAAGTGACGATCTAGACTACTATGTCGTTTTCGCGCACCTCAAAATCATGCATTTATGTGCCTTTGCCTGTTATAATCCCACAAGGGGATTGACAGTATTCTAGAATAAATAAATAAACAAATAAAATGCTGCTCCGAACGCAGCCGCAAATTGAAATCAGTTGATGACAGCCTTTTCCGTTGAGGCAATCAACCTGATGAGACACAGCGACAGAAGTGCGACACCGAACTCCCGATTCCCGAAATTCCGACTCCCTCGGCCACTTCCGTAACGCGAGGACGGAAACGCGTATCGCATTACCAGCGTCTTTCGGTGTCGTATCTAGTCATAGCACCACTTCTCCTCCACGCGTGCGAGGTGCCTTTGCTGATGTCACCCGATCTCCTACACAGTGCGTTCGACAGACCGGGTTAATAGTCTCGTTGTCGTCCCCGAGAAAACCGCCATTTCGTTGTTCGCGCCGCGGACGTAAAATATTTCGTGCTTCGCCCGTCTTATTTTTTTATTATCTTTTTTGTTTACCGTTGAGGCAGCTTTTCTCAACTATGGCGGGCTCGAAAGGGAGGTGTGACGATCGCACGGGCGAAGGGAGGTCCCGCGATCCATGGATAGTGGGAAACAGGCTTCAGTCGAGCTAGTTGCTGCATATTGGTGAAGGGTCAGTTTGAACTTACAGAAATGAACGAACTAAAGACGGTACAATGGTGTTTCCTGCTCCGTATTTTTTTCGTTCATTTCTGTAACTTCAAACTGTCCCTTCACCGATAATTGGTATGCTAAAAGACGCACTCCAGGGCTTAAAAAAAAAAAAAAAGCTTAAAAAATGGGAATATTGAGCGCTTTCCTCCACTTCACAGAGGTATTGTTCTGGCGTAAAAGGGAATGCGACCTCCCTGATCGTTTTATATTTTTCTGCCTGCTTCATTTAAATTACAAGTCAATTTCCAAAGGTTCTGGCGCTGTTGCCAGATTAGTGCCACTGTGATAGGGACAGACGGGGCCGAAGCGTGGGAATGCACTTGGCCGCTGGAATAAGTAAGCGATCGCCCACGCATACCCCAGGTTCACATTTTAAAACTTTGGATCGGGCTAGTTGGTTTATTGTGATCTAGAGGATTAAAAAGCGCAAAAAACACGGACGAAGAAGAGACAATACAACGCGGACTGGCAACGCGGAGCGCTAGTCCGTGTTGAATGTGTCTCTTCTCCGTCCGTGTTTTTTTGCGCTTTTTAATCCTCTAGATCACACTTTAATTTTGTCGCATTTACGGCATGAAATTAAAGAAACTTCATTTCCGCTCCTTCACTGCATTTGATGCCAAAAAAAAAAACGTCGACTGCTCCTCGTCTAAAGAACTATTTGTAAATCGCTTGATGAAAAAAAAAATTTCAATATCTAATTTTTAGCATTTAAGTCGATTAAGTAAACAAATGGAACCGAAAAATGTTCTTCAGCGCCGTCGGTCCCTTGACACTAACGATCGCGGTGCCCCTAGCGGATCCCACCGTCAACCTGAGGCGCCCTTCATCGACCGGCGTTCGCGACACTAGCAGCGGCCTCTCGCGCGAGCTGTCTACAATTTCCCGCCTTCACACCCCGCTGCGAAAGTGGACGCGCCCTCGAGGGCGAGGAGGAAACACAACACGGCCACCGGGAAAGTGAGTAGAAAAATGGTGAGGGCACCAGAAAGAGTGTGGAGTGTGAGGAGAGAGAGTGAGCGAGAGGTGTAAGATGGCGACCGGTGGGTCGTCTGCAACGATTGCAACGGGATCGCGGCGGCTGCGGTGACTGTAATGTCGCGCCAGGAATCATCGGACGCCGCATTTGTAGCGCGGCGATGCCGGCTGCCCGGTCGGCCTTCGTGAAGACGGTGTGCCGTGCTGGAGGATATTGTGCTCCTCTACCTCGTTTGAAGTCAGTGTTGTCAAACCGGGCGAGTGCGAGAACTGCGCGCTGATCGAAGCGAGTCTTCATCCTTCAAGAACAGATTTCGTTTTCGCCCGGGGAAATTATGAACGGTAAGTGCCGCCGATTGATATAATTACTTGCCGCGCAGTAATACGTTTTGTTTCGTCGCCTCCATCTAAATTGAAAAATTATGATCGATTGAGAAAGACTTGCGAGTTTAATTGCATCGGTGGACTTACGTACTCACTGGTAATACATCATTTTCTCGCTTATCTTGGATTTGTGTGCGACAGTCGTGTCAATCTTGACAATGCGCAAATACTTGCAGGGTTCCATGGCATTGTGACTTTCATGTTTTTGTTTTGGAACAAATTTTAGCTCCCTTTTCTTCCTGATCGACTCTTACACCTTATAAGTGTTTTCGGTGGGAACACGTTTCCCGCCGCTTTCGCCACAAAGTGCATCACAATGTTCATGTATCGTGGTGCATAAATCTTTGACATTAACATCTAAATGGTCCAACAATCTCGTTTTAAACAAAAATGAATTACATCGAGCATCCTTGCCAAATAAAAAAGGGCATAGTTCTAAACTTCCTAATTGAGGTGTGAAGTTACACCTTGATACACACGAGAATTTAATTTGCTCGACCAGACTGCTCTACATCAGTTCTATTATGTACATTTCATATGCTTAAGATTTAATTATGAAAAACAGCGTCTTTAATTACAGCTGAAATCTAATCAATGTGAAGATTTGTAGCTTGACAAATCAAAATGTGCTTGGAAGAACATTAAATTTACCGACATTCCCAGACAAAACCCGACACAAATACATTAGTCTTAAAAACAGAACAAAAATGAAGCAATTCTTATTTTCGAATCGTGACAACACATGTTTGGAAATGTGTTCGTAAAATTATGACTGATTGATGGCCTCTTTCCTTGAATGTGCCAAAGAACATAAAATATATTTACATTTGTAAACATTTACGCAGTTAATCAACAGTGGAAGAATAATCTTTAGGCGGTCAAAACACGAAAGCCAGATGAAGCAATGGAATAACACGCAGGGTGAAATTTTACCTAGGTAACCTTTATTTTAGAGATACAAATATTTCTAACACGACTTTATGTCTAGACACATTACACCTTGAGTCATTCGTTTGCGTGCTTTATATTTTTGAGACATTGGGAACAAAAATTGGTAACTTTGTTCCAAGTTGGTAATTGGGGAGAAATCGGGCTTTTCTGGTATTCGGGTTTTTCAGGCTCTATCTTTTAAGACTAAATGATTATAGTTAACAATAAAGAGCATTGATCGGTTTCATTATTTGGAGTGTTTTCTTGTGTTTTCTTTTTGACAATGAAGTTATTAGAGTTCACAAGATATCATTGTAACATGGTGTTAAGGATCTCATTTGGGCTTTGCCATTTGTTTTATTGATCATTGCTGCTTACGTAACCTTCTGAACGCGCAGATATACCTTTTCATCCTAATCCTGTCCGGTCTTTGGACATGTCTCAATTGAAAAAAAATATTTTCTCTCAACATCACAGCTTATACGCGTGTATTTGCAATGGCTACAATATTACTTCAGTTGGACAGGAACAACATATCTGCTGCTCCTTTCAAAACAAAGTTATAAAAATAGCTTCTCATAACTTTTTTTTAAATTTTATTGCGCTTGTTGAAACGGAAAGAGAAGAGCAAAGGATACTTCACAATAGACGGAAAAATGTCATTTTGTAGCCAACAGAATCTAGGCTCGTTTCCGATGTCTGGAGCTAGCTCACGTGTTCCTGCCAACTTTTTGTTTGCTTAAAGAAATATTTTCGGAGTCGATGTGATTTGGAAAATGATGAAATTCAATTTCTAAATTCGGGGAAACATCGGGTTTAACCCGATTTTCAAACAAACATGTTCGGGGTGCGAATATAGGAAAATATCGCGCTTTACCCAAAAAAGAAAGACCCTACTTATACGCAATAACTAATAAATTATTCAATCCTATCTTTTTCCCCATATATCATAAGCAGTAGTTAAAATTTTGAAATTACTTTAGTCAGTTCTGAATTTTTTTTATGTTTTGACAAGACAAACCAGTTTTTGCAGTCCCTTTATTGTTCAGTATATTCTCCATTATCTTTTTTAATCATACTCGCTGACTTCCTTGCTGATTCTTTATTATAACTGCGACTGCACATTGATTACAACAAGTCTCTGGCGCAGCTTTTTAATTAGTTGATATATAGACATATAAACGGAAAGCACGGATATAGACAAATAAAAGTAAAGCGCACCTAAATACAAATAAACGTAAAACTCATCTACCGCAAAAAAAAAAAAAAACGTAAAGCACATCCATAGAAAAGTAAACGTGAAGCATATAAAAAACGTAAAGCACAAATGAACATAAAGAAAATCTATCGACAAATAAATACAAATCACATCTATATACAAGCAGATGGAAAACACATCTAAAGTTAAATAAAGGCAAAGCAGTTGACAACATCCTTTTAACATTTTTTTTTGCGTGTATTTTGGATTTTAAGGGCAGTAGGATCTACATATTATTGACCTTCTTCAAACTGCGTATCCCATTCCCAACATCAGTTTTTGCTGCTCTAAATAAAAAAAAAAAATAGTGCGAACGAATTTTCTAGAGCACCGTTACATATAGTCGATTATTTAATAGGGGACCTTAATCCAGACGAGGCCGACGCAAGACCATGATATATTATGGATATTGCGAGTCGCATGAGTCTTCTTCTTTTCACTTCTTGTTGTACAACGAACAGGCAGAAGTGAATATATTTCTTCGTGAAATTTCATACCGTGTTTGCTTGGTTGGTCCGCGTAGTGCAAGGAAGGCTACCCCTTTAATTAAATCTGTAACTTTGCAACAAAAAGACTAGTTGGGCTAGTTGGTTCATGACTGGGTATGCACGCACCAAAGGACCGGGAAAAAGTGAAGCAGGTAACGACAACACGGAACGCACTCGCGACTGAGAGTTCATTATAAAACACACTGACTTATACCCGTGCCACACGGGCAACTCGAATGCCTTTTACTACGAATGACATTCGTGTGATTGACAAATCGGCTCACGATCTGTCGCGCGTGGAACGCCCCACGCTCGGAGTGTCGCGCGTTGATTGGCCGATCGTTTAAATGTCATTCGTTGTAAATGCCTTCGAGTTGCCCGTGTGGCACGGGTATTAAATGCCTTAATCGCCCCACTCTCTCTCTCTTTCTCCAAAAATTCTGAAACGTCTCCCCGTCCTCTTGTCATGCAAAAGTATCCGAGCTCCGATAAGCGGATGTGCGTTTGCATTTATTTGTTGTCCTGGGAAACTTTCCAACGGTAATTGCTTTTTCTATTTTGTTTTCAAATATAGGTCACTTAATCAAGCGATACGGTTGTAGAACGTTGCCAGAAGGCGGTTTGCAATGAGCTGCGACAGACATTGTCCATTTTGTTTCATGAAATTTTCCCAGTCTTACTCACACGTTTAACGACGGGATATAGGAGACCCTAACTTTATTTACTTGCCGTGTCTTTAGGTGGGTGGGCGGCACGGAAATTAAAATTTTGATTTTAGTTTTGCTCAAGTTTTTGTTAGACCAAATCAAATCCTTATAGTGGGACCTTCATAACACGTGGAAATTTCATTCGTGTTCGTGATTCTATAGGGACAGCGGAAAGATTGAACTTTGACCGGCCTTTTTCAAGAGCCGGAAGTTCAAGAAATAGCAATTATTTTCTTACCTCGGCACTCTCATCAATTACAAACAACTACAAAAACAAATCCCCAGAGACATTTTGAAAATTCCTTAATTAGAATCTCGCTGCATGGCACGAAACGGCAAGGATGTTCAGCCTTTCTTTCGCTCGCTTGTCTTCGACGAAACGAAAGTATTTATGACGTGACATTTTCTTAAAACATGAACGATCTTTAACAAATAACCTCTGCCTAATATATTAGTAGTAATACAACTAAAATGTATAATCCACGCAGCGGAAGTGGCGCTTCACTGGTGGGGGCACGCATACGGATTTTCGCATTAACCTAGCGGCAGATGCGCGAACTTCATTTGGAGGAAAGTGGTTACTGCACTCCAAGCGGTTTGCAGAGCAGCCGACGTAAGTCCTGCGTATCCGCTGCGTTGCTGTTTCGCCTCAACTGCCTAGTACACCGTTCTCTGCAAAGCGCATGCCTCCTGGGCATGCGTAGAGCTCGCTCGGGGAAAACGAACCTCGCATGGGCTTCATTTATGAGCTGCAAGAGCTGTTACCAAACTCTAAGAGCCGCTGCGCACGTAAGCTCGTTATCTCGCCAGTCGTAAGCTTAGCACGAGGACATCGTCAACCTGCTCACAGAGCAGCCTCATCAACTGGTTACAAAAGAGCGTGTTTACAGCCGAGCAGAACTTGGAAATATCATTCGGATTGCCATGAACCCGAGTAGACGATGTCGGTGAACGACATTCCGTCTGTTTTGCACTATACCCTGTCGCAGGTATAAGAAAGCATTCTCCTCCCGCTACACTCTTTCCACTTTATCGAGCAAACGCTGGAGAGGATACGAGTCCCTCCTCCCCAGCGTCCGCTCGCTAAAGTAGAAAGTGTTTTGCGGGAGAAGCTTGTTTTCTTATACCTGCAACAGGGTGGATAGTTCACTAGAAAAAAGAACGCTGGAAGATCTAACTCAAGCGTTTTCCTGAGAGGTAGGCCTCGGGTGCCTTAGTTTACCAAAAGACAATATGGTTCTCCGAATGGGCGTCCCTTTTCTTTTATAGAAAGGCTTTCAATGACATCCGCGCTGTGAATGTCCTTGAAAAGCGAAAACCCGTTTCGTATCGTGTACTAAGGTGTTTTCGGCTGTAATCAGAATGTCGTTTTATGGACTCTATTGTTTTTTGTGTGCCTCGGTATGAAACATTACTTCCGAAACACTTCCCCAGTTCTGTAAGGCCATCACATCTTACTAAGAAAAAAAAATTTTTTTTTTTTTGCGTTAAAATTTTTTGAAATTGCAAATATGTTTTTCTTTATCGTTGAGCCCTCGCGCGTTTTCGTGAAGGCATGCACATCCGCTTCGAACA